GAGAAAGCAGCATCGCTGCAGATGCTGGTTGCCCAAGGGAAAAACCTTAATGCAATTTACAGCAAGTAGGAATAGATGAGCACAAAGAACGTATTATATTTTGTTATAAATCTCTCTTTCTTACGGTTATGACCCAGCTATTCCGATTGCTTAGCATTCTCGGACACCGATTCACTCGACAAGTCCCCAAATCAAAACACGGTTGAACAGGAAATAGATTATATTTCAAATAACAAGGTTAGATGGAAGTAAGAAGCAAGTCAGAAGCACAATAGGGAAAACGTCAGTATATTTATAGTTTTTACATAAGAAGATTCCAGAGTATTCTCCAACTATCGACTAGTGCTGATTGGATAAGAATTAGCCAATCAGCGTGCACCAAAGCATTCATGCATTGAGCATGCTTTAATCCAGTCTATGTCGCGCTAACATATTTGGAATTCGTAATCAGCTGGCCGTCAAGTACAAAGGAATCATTAGTTCGTACAAATACCTCATAATCTTAATAAACGATCAAGTTTTCAACAGTAAAGCATAATATTGGCATCTGCTTTTTAGGTTTGGTTGATTGTTTTGTGGATGAATTTAGACGATCTCAGCCTTAACACCTGACCAGTTTAAAACAGGGTGTTTTATGGGTACCGCTTTTGATGAAGATCAATTTTTGGTTACCTAACTTATTGTAGTAATTATCCTTATACATTGCGGTTATTGTCAAAAGCTATGTATGTTGTAATATGTAGCAGAGTTACCTTTTCTGAAGGTAAAATTCAAAACACTTGTGTTGCAAAGACCGGTTGATTTTATTCCGAATGGCATACCACCCCGATTAGCGTTTTCATATCAAGCGCTTTAACCGGATCACAAACCAATGGTACACATGGGCTCCAGTATCCTGCGGGAACAAATGGCGTATGAACCAATCTTTGGTCACCAGCTACCATGGGATTGCATCTCCTTACGATGCTCCACTGCCTTGTGGGTTAGACCTTTAGGTCAAAGGCTCGGGGTGTGGCCCCCTAAGAAAACCACCTGCTTCGGTTTGGGCACCCGGGCAGTATCACAGACCACACACAAACGATGAACTCTATGTCTATGGCAACTACTTTTCTCGCTCCGAAAAACAATCAATCGATTCAAATAATTGTCATTACTATTATTGTCATTATTAATACTATTATTATTATTATTACTATTATTATTATTATTATTATTATTATTATTATTATTATTATTATTATTATTATTATTATTTTCCACATTATTCACCCTCTTTCATACTTATACAGCGGCTCGACTTTGGTGGAAATCCGACTGTATCTAAACGTTCTCGAGTCACTGTCCGGTTGAAAGTTGTATGTTACCATCGAATATGAGTACTGAAGCAGTTTTTCTGAAACCACGTGCGCCATTCAAACTGGCTGCCTTCAACGTTCGCACACTTATGCAGGTTGGTCAACAGATAGGGCTGGCTATGTCTTTGGAAAGTCTTAATATTGATGTGTGTTGTCTATCCGAGACCCGTATTCAAGACTCTGGCGAAGTACTACAAATTCGCTCTACATCTGTCACTTCAAAAAGCTTGTTTTACGTGCGCTTATCCGGGGACCCTGTGGCATCTTCGTCTGGTCTTGCAGGCGTTGGTGTCGCACTAAGCGCTAGAGCTGAGGCAGCACTAGTCGATTGGATCCCCTTTAACAGTCGGTTATGTGCTGTTAGATTAGAAAGTTCCATCAAAGTGAGAAGAAATCGGAGTGAGAAACGATGTCTTTTCGTCATCTCCGCCTATGCCCCGACAGATTGCAGCCCGGATGCAATCAAGGATGAGTTTTACCACCAATTATCTGTTCTTCTCCAGAAAGTGCGTTCGACAGATATTGTAGTACTACTAGCCGGAGATTTGAATGCTCAGGTCGGGCGTCTAGGCACAGAAGAGAGTCGTTTAGGTGGCCGATGGGGACTCGTTGGTCGCAGGTCAGATAACGGGGACCGTCTACTGCAACTTTGCACAGACCACAACCTGTTTCTGGCTAACACTAACTTTCGGCACAGTCATCGCTGATGTGCCACCTGGCGTCCTCCCTCTGCATCCCAAGCCTGGACTCAGATTGATCACATCGCGATCAGCTACCGCTGGCGTGGTTGTGTACAAGACTGCCGCTCCTTTTGGAGTACCTATCTGGACTCTGACCATGCCTTGGTCTGCGCCAATCTTGCCTTACTTTTCAGTGGCCAACGAAGTGACCACCACCAAAAGATTGATGTTAGCAAGCTGGTTGCAACTTCTGTTGCACGTAAGTATCGAACCGAGCTAGCCTCTAGGCTAGCTACCACTCCACCGAAAAGTATAGATGAGCATTGGTTGCAATTGCATGACGCCATGAAAATGGCGGGAACAGTCAGTTGTGGGTTTGCGAAACGTCCCGCTTATAAGCACTGGGTTTCTTCTGGTTCCTTACAACTCATTGAAGCCCGTCGGTCTACTCCGGGTGACCGTGAGTTTGACCATAAACGAAGGATGTTATGTAAGGAAATTGGGCAAAGCTTGCGTAAGGACCGAAAAGCCTGGTGGTCGAAGCGTGCTAATGAGCTGGAAGCAGCAGCTGCATCTGGTAATTACCGGAAGCTCTTCCAGCTCATCCGAGCCACTGGCAGCACGAAGTCTGGTGTGAGTGAAACAATCTGCGAGGATGATGGGATGCCAATCACTAACATCCATCGACGTCTTGGACGGTGGGCAGAATTTTTCGAAGGGCAGTTCAACTGGCCTGCTGCTCCGGCAACATCAGTCAGACTGTCCTGCCCTCCATGGCCGGTGACGACTGATCCACCAAACGAGGAGGAAGTCCGCAAGGAACTCCAACTCTTGAAGCGTTACAAATCACCTGGCCCAGATGACTTACCTCCGGCTCTTTTTAAAGATGGTGGTGACTTTTTGACTAAGGAATTGACGACGTTGTTTACAAAGGTTTGGGAACTAGAGAGTGTGCCAACGTCATGGAATGAGTCGATAGTTGTCCCTATCTTTAAAAAGGGTTCACGTCGTTCCTGTAACAACTATCGGGGGATAAGTCTACTTCCGATTGCGTCCAAGCTATTGGCTTCCGTCATACTTCGTAGACTGTTCAAAACCCGAGAAAGATTGACTCGCGAGGAGCAGGCTGGGTTTCGTTCTGGTCGAGGATGTATTGATCATATCTTCACCCTCCGCCAAATGTTAGAACACCGCCATACTTATCAAAGGCCAACAATCGTAGTGTTTCTTGACATCAGGGCTGCCTTCGATTCGTTGGACAGAACTGTTCTCTGGCATTGTCTATTGAAGAAGGGTGTGTCTGAGAAGTTTATTAACATCCTAAAAGCCCTATATAAAAACACCTCAGGCAGAGTGAGGGCATACAACCACCTCTCTCCATTGTTCCATTCGAGCAGTGGGGTTAGACAAAGTTGCCTAATCTCACCATTCCTATTCAACTTTGCCATCGATGACATTCTGGAAACAGCTCTGATGAATGTAAGTAATAGTGGTGTGGATCTGTTGCCTGGAGAAAGACTTCTCGACCTTGAGTATGCGGACGATATTGTCTTACTGTGCGATAATGCCCAAGGCATGCAATCCGCACTTAATCAGTTGGCAATCAGTGTCCGTAGGTATGTATGTGCTTTGCACCTTCGAAGTGCAAATTACTCCTACAAGACTGGCAGGATTCCAATCCTGTACTCACCCTGGATGGTGAGCAGATAGACGTAGTCGAGAAGTTCGTGTATCTGGGTAGCTGTATAAGTGCTGGTGGAGATGTGAGTGATGAGATCAATGCACGAATAGTGAAAGCCAGAGCGGCTTATGCCAATCTGGGCCATCTATGGCGCCTTCGTGATGTTAGTCTGGCCGTAAAAGGTCGGATCTACAACGCGTCGGTGAGAGCAGTTTTGCTCTATGCTTGTGAAACCTGGCCTCTCCGAGTTGAGGACGTTAGACGACTCTCTGTGTTCGATCATCGCTGTCTCCGAAGGATTGCTGACATTCAGTGGCAACACCATGTCAGTAATACAGAGGTTCGGCATCGTGTGTTCGGGCACAGAGATGATAATTCAATTGGTGTCACCATCTTGAAACACCGACTGCGGTGGCTTGGACATGTTCTCCGAATGTCGTCCCAGAGAATTCCACGTCGTGCATTATTTGCCGACTCTGGGACTGGTTGGAAGAAGCGGAGAGGTGGTCAGTGCATGACATGGTGTCGTGGTATGAAAGAAAGCTGCAAAGGACTGGCTTGTGTTGGTCCTTCACGACTCCCTGGTTGGGGTCTGAGAGATGGTGCAACACAGTGGCTAGAGACGTTATCAGATATGGCTCAGAATAGAAGCCAGTGGCGATCCTGCTGTTACCTTCTTTTACTTTCTTCGTAAAAAGTGGTTCTGTCTCCCTTACCTGAAAGATTTCTTCCGATTGTACGTTTGCGTTCCCTGATTACTAGCACATTACCTTACACCAGTCTCTTCGTTATTGTTCTGTCTTTTTTTGTTGCGCTCCTTAGCTTTTTTTTCTTTCTTTGTATTCCTCTCGAATTTTTATTGTTTTGTGTGGCGCATATATATTGGCGCTCTCCTGTACCAATATTCATGTGTCCAAATAAATAAATAAATTTACCATCGTTAGTGCCAGTGGTAGAGGAATTCAATGAACTAATACTATTTTTCTCAGCTATAGAGATCCGTAGTGCGTTTTTTATTTTTATGCTGATCTAGAAACCGCTATGAATCCTACGTTTGTTGTTCAAGCTTTGTTTGAACAGTCTTTAATTAAAAGTTAGATTGGTGAAACCACTCACTTAGCCTTAGCCAAATCACTTTCGTGTAGTTTAAAATTGACTGGTTATGAATTACCGTTTTTCTACAAAGTATTTCAACAACCGGTGTTCCTCTAAACTACATTTTTCTCACTATTTGAAAGATGTATTTGCTCATAGCTTATTCTTTCTTCACATCCATCTTTCCAGCTACTTGGCAACCTGTGGAGTTGACCGAAAACTAAAGATTTGGGACTTGAGGTCCACTTATGATCCTCTTTCCGAAATCCTGCTGCCTATGTCTGCTTCAACAATTAATTTCAGTCAGAAAGGTTTATTAGCATTGGGTGCTGCTAATACCGTACAGGTATGATATTTCTGGTTATGATTTATTTTAGTACTTAACTTATCGCATCAAGTGGTTGTTTCTCCATATACCATACCATACTGCAAAATGCCTACTTTCCTTGTTTTCATTCGTTTGTCATGGTTATACTCTTGGGGATAACAATTTCTCCTGATCGCTCTCTTGCCTAGAACCTTGTATGAAGACGTCTCCTTGTCTGGTAAAAACTGACGAAATATAATCTGAATAAAGCACTGTGTGACAGTACAGGAGTTTGTAGGTTGCGATCTTCCCCTTCCAAAAATTAGGGTCGCATCTGGATTATACGGTATCATTTCTCAGTCAAACAGAAAAGAGTAAGCAAGTAGTGGGCATTGAACACCACACACGTCTACCTTTTGTTACTTCGAAGTTATAAAACTTGTGTAGGTTGTAATTATTTGGTCATACATGTCTTAGAATCATTGCTCACGTAAACCGGAACCATGTAGGAGCAAACCGCCCATGAAATAATATCAGTCTATGAGGTTATGACTTTAGATCCTAACGTAGTCGGGATGTGCGGAGTCGTTAAGTAAAGTTCACGAGATAATTATGGCATGCAGTTGGAACTCTTTTGGGTATTGATGCAGGTACGTGGATTAAGCTTTTGTTTAAATCTCGGGCTCGTTTTTATTTTTAATTTCCTGAAGTTGTTCCTTTTGTCTATATGAAAGAGTGTATAAAACTGGAACTAATGGTTAACGACCGTATATCTAGTTTGTGATTGCGTGTTATTAAGCCGTGACAAAAGACAAAATATTTATTGTAACGATTTGATATGGCCAAAGTAGTTGTTAGGTAGTCGGAAAAATAGACCAATAATTATCATGTTAAGTCCAATGGTGTCCTTGGACCTTAAATGTACATTTCCCATTGGTCGATATTTATTTAACGTGTTATTTTCCTGTTGGCCAATATTGTACAATGTTATTTTCTACTTTGTGGTACGTTGTGGTCTGCTTGACTAGTATATAAACAAAGTATGTTTGAAATATAATGATTCATAACCCAGAGGCTGTGACTTTTGTTCTTGACTCAACTGGCTAGGACAGACAGCGGAGCAGGGCCAATCAGGGCACTAGGTCGTCCTTACGTGTCACTGTCATTGTAATCGATCGATAAATAAACGCTGCGTATCAAATCCTGCAGTCACACCCGTCACAACAGTAGTGCTTTGAAAAGAGGAATAAATCTACTGTTATAAAATTAAGTTATCCTTAGTAATATTTACCGTGAGTAGATGGTTGTGTTTTATTTTATTCCCCATTTCACATAAGCCCACGATGATTTCAGTATTGCCTGTGAGGAAGTATTATGATCTATAAAATAAGGATTTATCTTTGTGAATCTTAGGTAGTGTATATGTATTTCTTTTGTCTAATTTCTGCGTGAATCGCTTTTTACTTTTAAAAGATTTTACGTGACCCCCATTCCATTCCACCGTCCAATGCATCAAAAATCTTTGAAACCATTTCACCTAATGTTAACCGACGAGTAATTTCGAATGCTTATCTTTCTCACTACGCGGTTCATCCAGTTTATCGTGTACGCTTTTGTCCTTATGAAGACGTTTTAGGAGTAGGTAGTTCCGCTGGGATTTCATCCATTCTTTGTCCTGGGAGTGCCGAACCTAATTATGATGGTTTAGAAGAAAATCCTTTTGCCAATAAACGTTATAGGCAAGAAAGAGAAGTTAAACGACTTTTGGATAAGGTAATATTGTTCACGTGTTTTCATATCTACTTGTTAGTTTCGTTAATAGTTCTATGTTTTTCTCAAGTATATTCTTCATATATGTGTGTTCATAAACTTTGTTTCAATGTAATTTCTTAATATTAAAAACTGGTTTTGGAATTTTAATTCAGTTAGACTTTAGTTGTAAATATGTTCGGTTCCATTGAATTAAATAAATTCTGTGAATACATACTTACCAACACAAACCAATGTTATCAAAGGGTTACGAGCAACTTGAGAGTATTCATTAGTTGAAAATCCACAGGATTACCTTATCAACCATCTGCCGAAGAAACCTACTAAATCTAAAATTCTTTCTGGTAAGATATTCAGAATCTGCCAAATATGAAATAGTACTTAGATTCCAGAAGAGTTAGTGAGGTATCACTAATTCAACGACCACCTATTTCGTCTTCTACCAGGAGATTGAACTTCATCGAGTACTATTGTTTACTAAATCTACCAACGTTAGTAGGACATAAGCGTATTTTATGATTGTTCTAGTAAATTATAGTCCTATTATATTATACTGACCCCTAAAGTGTCCTACTAAAGAAAAACACAAGGAGGTAAAATTCTTCGACTTAATTATTCTACACTAATATCATTTATATAAGTTTTCTTATTCCTATCATTTCTTTTTTAATTCAATTGTGTGTAAATTGCTAATGAATGTGTTCATGTGTAATAAAGATATGTTACCATAAAATTCAAAAAAGAAGTGATTGCATATCGGAATATCGAAAACAAGCATTGAAATAATGGTGATGATAGTAAATGTAGGGATTACCAAGTAAAAATTCTTTACATTTCGTGTAAGGAATTTAGTTACTGTAAACCGATGCAATACAAATAACTTAAAAGAATCCAAGGACTACTTAAAGGTCCTAATGATTTTTATATTTCCAAATTATTGATGATTGATTTATTCTGGGTATATCGCTATCTAATCATAGATAAGACTAATATGCTTCTACTTGTTTTTTGGTACCTTACAATCTAATCCGTATTGTTGTGGAAGCTATTATCATATTAAATCAAAAACTGGTTTCAATTATGAGGTTAATATCCGTAGAGTAATTAGATTTATAGACTAACTTTAATAGAATAAATATTTCTGAGTGAGTTTGGTAGGAATTTTCACAACATGTTGATACCAATCGGACTGTTTACATACTCCACAAGTAGGCACAGGTTTGGGAACTACTATTTAATATCTAGATATTACATAAAAAACGTTTTTATTTTATTTGAGCGCATAAACATTGGCACAAAGGGACACCAAAATATAAATGCACCACAATAAAAACTAGATTGTGTTGAGTTATAAAAAAGGAAGGTGAATGTAATGGAAAAAAAATGAAAATGAATGGAAATTAGTGTACGAAAGTGAATTAATAATAATAATAATAATAATAATAATAATAATAAGGGGAGAAGCAGTTCAGTTAAGAGAAGTATAACCAGGTAGGATACTTTCGGTTATAGAAGTTCCCCTCACTTGGAGGGGATAAAAGAAAATTACAGCAGGACTACCACTAGCTTCTATTCTAAGTAATATTTGATAATATCTCAAACCACTGTGTCGCACTATATGACCTCAATTAGGGAGTCTTAAAGAACCGACAGATATCAGTCATTTACAGCTTTCTTTCATACTACTGACTACCTCTGCTCTTTTTCTAACCAGTTTCAGCGTCGGCATATAATGCCTGACGTGTAATTCACTGGGGCGACATTTTTAGTACATGTTCAAGGCACCGAAGTTGATGTTTCAAAATAGTGACGTCAATCGAATGATCATCAACTTAATTCCAACTAATGACATCTTATCGTAACACTACACCAATCCCTATAAATAGTCAATAAAAGTTTTTTTAAGCAGGATAGTATCTTAATCAGTAAAACAATCATTGATTATAACTTTTCACAGACTCACATGTGTTTCACCTAATAGAATCATTAAAAAACTGCTTACTGTACTATTACAAACAGATTCCATATACAATGATTTCATTAAAATCAATCGTTGGTGAAGTTCGTCGTGAAGACCTTTTAGAAGAATGGGAAAAAAAGAAAGCTGTATTAGTAAGTTAATCTGCTTTATTTTAATTGCTTTTATTTATTTATTTGATCGAAAATGTTTCTTTGGTAACTAAAAAAGTAGATAACAATTTTCACTTTTGTAGATTTTAGCTTTCTATTATGATGGTAAATTATCAGTTATATTAGTTATAATATGTTTTTATTGTTTCTGTCCTAATTTACTGCTTTCCCAGCTGACGTTGTGCACTGTGATAAGTGGCGATTACGCTCGTTTAACATGTTTCCTACCCACTTTAATCGATAAAGGCTTACACCTAGTATTCTACACTGACTATCGGCATCATTTATTCAATGGTTTCACCATAATTAAACAACGCTTTAGCGACATTTGACAGTCAACTCATTTCTCCTACTTTTAAAGTCAATTTACCACAAGAATAACGAATTACAGAGTGAATTGTCATCTAGCAGTCTCCATTCAATAAGCAAGTGTTTATCTTGCTGTTGACACAAATAAATTAAATAATGGACACCCAAATTGTAGTGGGAGAAATCAATTCAGCATGGACATGTATCAGTTGTCCATGTTCATAGTTCTTTTGCTGTCAGACATACTGAAGTTTGTAATCGTTGGTTTCTAGTAATCAAATTCGAAGTTATTTTAAAATCCAACTGGTTGAAGAAGCGTTGGAATTTACTAGTTTATAGTAAAAGTTGTATGCCTATTATCATTTTCACTTCTATAAAAACTTATCCGGCTTCTTGATCACGATCATTATAATTCACTGATATATGTAATCTTTTACTGTCAATTTTAGCTTGGACAAGTTCCCAAAGTCGATACACCTGCTATTAAACGAAATAAACAAAAAGGTAGATCAAAACCTGGCCGAATCGAGGCAAAAAAGCAAAATATACACTTTGAACGTAAAATGTTTACTATCAAAGAAGTTTTAGGTGTACGGGAAGCGGAAGAGAAGTTACGACGAAAAGTTTCTTACAAAAAAATCAATGATATAAGCACATTACCGAGACCTAGTGAAGCTTTAGTAACAAAAAAGAAATTATCGAAAAGACGCACAAACACTGCTCTTGATGTGTTGATCCCACCAAAAGAATTTTAATTTTTAAATCTTAATTTCTTTATCGTTCTCTAACTAACTGTTTGTCTTCAAGTTCTTTTCTTAAATTTCCCACTAAACTTTTTAAAATCAACGAATCTACATTGCTTTATGTATAATTGTCAATGGTTGACAATTGTATTACTGTAATTTATTGAAATCATAATGTACAGTTTACATTTGATACAAATAAAAAAAGTATTAAGAGGTTATATATGTGTGTGTTGTCAATGTACCTCATTATCAGAATTTTATCAGCTTCCACAACGTCAGTTATATTTAGTTCTTTTTTCTTGTTGGGGCCGATACCTAGTTGAATCTCAGTTAGTATCAGTTCCATCATTTGTCCATGCCAATCTAGTACTAATACAATGCTCTTGAGAATGAACTTAGTTCTTTGTATCACTTTAAAACCTTCGGATTTAATGGAAATGTTATTACTAGAACCTCTCAGACTGGTTCTAGATCTCATGCTTAAGTCAAACCTCATATACTACTATTTAACGTTTGCAACTCACACGCTTATGTCGCACGACATCCAGAGGTGACGCACATTCGTGGTGTTTTTAACTACATTTCTAATCAAATTATTTTTTGATGTGAAAAATATTAAGACAGGTTTTAGTAGAATTTGTTTGGTTTATAAAGAGACTTGTTAAGTCACCGAAACACACAGGATCCTAGTGTGTTCATTCTAATTAAAACGAAAAGCCGACAAGACTTACACTCCGTTTATCTGGCGACTAGGCAGCAAGTTCTCGTGCACTGGCGGGTAAAGGCATAGCACTGAGTATGAGGTCAGAAGAAGCCCTTTTAGAATGGATCCCTATCGACAGTCGCCTATGTGCTGTTCGGCTAAACAGATCCGCAAGAGTTCAGAAGGATAGGGATACACGTCGAGATGGCAGTGAGCAGGACTTACTTGTCGGTAGCTGTATACGCGAGGCCATGTGAGAGCACTTCGAGAGAGGATTCTTCCCACCATTGACCGTACCAGGGTATTTGGGGCTTTGAATTCAAAGCAAACTTCTCAGTAAAATTTTCGTCATGGACTGAATTTAGCTGACAAGCTGTTGAAAATCCTGAAGCGCGAGATTACTGCTTGTTCTTAGCACTGATATGTTCGGAACACACATCCTTGATACTGCCAATGGTGGAATTTAAAGAGTTGACTCTTGACTAGCGAGAACTCACGACTATTAAAATTCAATACTGTTGGATATGTGGCAGTTACGCACTAGTGGTATTGGGAAGAGTTTGGGTTGGAGTTAAACATACGAATCAGTGATTGCCAAGACAATGGTCTTATTTTCAAGCTTTTACTGTGAGATTTCAGATCCATGTGTTTGATCTCGTGCAAAGTTCAAATTGTGAGTCGCTGAGATGTCTAATTTTAGGACGAAACAACTTTCCACTCCTTCCTGATTTTCAGCTGTTATTTAAAAAAGGTATTCCCGTCAAGCAAACTATAAAATTCAACAATTTCTACAAATCCCATAAACCCACTTAGACTGCTGAGTTGGAAGCCTACATCCTTAAATGTTGTCGATTTATAACCAAAACAAAAACCATCCATTGTTATTGATCAATCTTCCTCAGATTAGATATGCTTTAAGTCCATCACTTGGAACTTCTCATCAAAATTATAGAATGTTGTCTCTAATTCAGTCACTTACGGAAATATGATTATTATGTTCTATTTAATTTTGCTGAACATTATAATTTCGGAACTACAGAAGAACTTAATTGTTCCCAACAAAACTCAAATCACGCTTTAATGAAGTAAATCCTGATGATGTTATCGAGAAAGACAATGAAAGCTTCGCGTTTAAACCATTCAGCTCGGAGAAGAAAATTCCTACAGATAAACTCATTCCATTTACTCTGATAAAGTCCTTTTCACTCTACTATCTATATACCACTGGTGAATTTGTGAATTTTATTGAGATAATTTAAAAATTCGCAACTTGACCAGACAATTGTATTGAGATTTTTAAAAAATAATCCCGTACTGAACGTTCAACTCTGCCTGTAGCTCTTCTAAAGTTACTGTCGGTCCCAAGCCCGGATAAAGCAGGGGAGTTTTGGATGGGGTTAGCGACCCCATCCCGTAGAAAGCTAGCTCTCTAAAGAAACGCTAACCAAAAAACATAATTCAAACCACTTAAACTCAACCCTGGGAGTCAGAAGGTCTGCATTTACAACAACTATGACGCCTCATGGTGGAAGCCGAGTTCCTTCGGAAGTCACGAGGCCGATGCAACTTCTAACAACCAGATCAACCATTTATTTAGGTACATGGAACGTCCAGACAATGTGGGAGACCGGGAAGACCAGTCAAATAGCAACGGAAATGAGGAGATACGAATTGGCAGTACTGGGAATCAGCGATACCCATTGAACCCAAGCTGGTTAGCAAAGGCTAGATACGGGAAAGGCGCTGCTATACTTCGGTCACGAATAGGAAAATGCTCCACACACTCAGGGAGTTGTTCTAATGCTGTAGGATGGGAATCTCACGGATCCAGAATCATCAAAGTGTCATTCAAAACAAAGAAGGAGGGAATTACAATGAATGTTATCCAATGTTATGCACCCACCAATGATAGCAATGACGAGGACAAAAATCAGGTTTTACCTCACCATTCTGATGGGAGGTCTAAACGCCAAAGTCGGAATAGACAACACTGGATATGAAGATATCATGGGACGATATGGACTAGTAGAGAGAAACGAAAATGGGGAAAGATTTGCAAATCTATGTGCATCCAACAAATTGGTCATAGGCGGCACAATATTTCCACACAAATGTATACACAAAGCTACATGGATCTCATCGGGCCGCATCACAGAGAACCAGATAGATCATATTTGCATCAATAAAAAGTTCCGAAGAACAATGGAAGATGTGAGAAGCAGGAGAGGAGCTTACATAGCTTCAGATCACCACCTTGTTGTGGCCAATTTAAAACTGAAGCTAAAGAAGAACTGGACAAACAGCACTGCAAAAGTTCAATACAGCCTACTAATAAATTCAAGATAGCTTTCAACAACAGGTTCCAAGCCTTACAGGATCTACTGAAGGAAGAAGAAACTGCCATGAAGGACAACTGGAAAGGTATCAAAGAAGCATTAACTTCAACGTGTCAAGAGGTTCTGGGCCTCAAGAAGCATCATCATGAGGAATGGATCTCTATAGAAACACTGGACAGGATCAAAGAAAAGAAGAACAAGAAGACAGCAATTAACAACAGCCGAACACAAGCAGAAAAAATCCAAGCACAAACTGAGTACATAGAAGCAAACAAGCAAGTGAGGAAGAGCATTAAAACCGACAAGCAGAAATACGTGGAAGAAGTAGCAACGACGGCGGAGAAAGCTGCAACAAAAGGAAATATGAAACAGCTTTATGATACAACGAAGAAACCAGCGAGGAAATATAGTAAACCAGAGAGACCGGTCAAGGACAAAGAAGCCAGGCCAATCACTGAAATTCAAGACCAGCGGAACAGATGGGTAGAGTACTTCGAGGAACTCCTGAATAGGCCGGCTCCAATGAATCTGTAGAATTTATGGTCTACCATGATGTTAGTACTGCTCTAATAATAGACCTAATCCTAAATTTGTAGATTTGTCGTGATATAACTGCCTAATCTATAAGATCTTACGTGGAAGTCACACCATCGACTACACCAACTCACTGTATCGCATCAATTACCAATACATGATGTAGAACAAGGTTAGGCTAGAGAAAGAACAATATATTTAATATGAATAGAAGATATAAGGTAACACTCAGCAGAGACCACGCCTGCATGGCCGAGCCATGCCACTCGATCAACTCCAGACCATTCAATCCATTCTTCGCGCCTTCTCCATCGTTAAGTATTTATTCGCCTTAAATATTGAATATCTATTTTCTGAGTAGTCTCGTGTTCAGAACTCCGCCTGTAGCTCTTCTAGAGTTACTGCCGGTCCCAAGCCCGGGTAAAGGAGGAGGGTTGGGCATGGGGTTAGCGTCCCCATCCCGTAGAAAACTAACTCGCTATAAAAACGCTTACCAGAAAAAATAATTCAAACCATTTTAACTCTGCCCTGAGAGTTAGAAGGTCTTCATTTAGAAGAATTATGACGCTTCATGGTGAAAGCCGAGTTCCTTCGGAAGCCACGAGGCCGATGCCCCTTCTAACAACCAGAGCAAAAATTTTTATAGGTACATGGAACGTCCGAACAATGTGGGAAACCGGGAAGACCAGTCAAATAGCAATGGAAATGAGGAGATACAACTTAGCAGTACTGGGGATCAGCGAAACTCACTGGACCCAAGCTGGACAGAAAAGACTAGCTACGGGAGAGATGCTGCTATACTCCGGTCACGAATAGGAAAATGCTCCACACACTCAGGGAGTTGCTCTAATGCTGTCCAAAGTAGCACGAAATGCACTTGTAGGATGGGAATCCCACGGATCCAGAATCATCAAAGTGTCATTCAAAACAAAGAAGGAGGGGATCTTAATGAATATTATCCAATGTTATGCACCCACCAATGATAGCAACGACGGCATTAAAGATCAGTTCTACGAGCGGCTGCAGTCAGTCATTGAGAAATGCCCAAGAAAGGACCTCACCATTCTAATGGGAGATCTAAATGCCAAAGTCGGAATAGACAACACTGGATATGAAGATATTATGGGGCAACATGGACTGGGAGAGAGGAACGAAAATGAAGAATGATTTGCAAATTTGTGTGCATCCAACAAATTAGTCATAGGAGGCACAATATTTCCACACAAATGTATACACAAGGCTACATGGATCTCACCGGACCACACTACAGAGAACCAGATAGACCATATTTGCATCAACAAAAAATTCCGAAGGACAATGGAAGATGTGAGGACCAGGAGAGGAGCTGACGTAGCTTCAGATCACCACCTAGTTGTAGCCAATTTGAAACTGAAGCTAAAAAAGAACTGGACAAGTGGACAAACAGCAATACAAGTTTCAATACAGCCTTCCTTCGAGATACTGTCAAACTCAATGAATTCAAGATAGCTCTCAACAACAGGTTCCAAGCCTTACAAGATCTACTGAAAGAAGAAGAAACTACTATGGAGGACAACTGGAAAGGCATCAAGGAAGCATTAACTTCAACGTGTCAAGAGGTTCTCGGTCTAAAGAAATACCATCATAAGGAATGGATCTCTACAGAA